TAAGTATGCTCGCCAAGAAGTCCCATCTTGTGCCTACGTATCCTAACGAGAATGGAATCAGAGCATTTGTAGTTCCTCTAAAGGGATGAGGAACTCTTGACTATGGTTAAGGTTCTAGGGGAAGGTTTTTTGATTGATTCTAGGAGAAAAGACAAGTCGTCATCTTAAGTTGAATACTCGACAAAACCACCACAAACGTATGGAAGACGGTCCTTTCTTCATGTTGAGAGAAGGGCTCCAACTCGGATCTATAATTGACGAGTACACCACATACCTCTCTCAATCAGAAAAGACTCTACATCTTTCTTGATTATGTTGGGGGCAGGAGAACTATATCTCGACTACATAGATGAATCATGTCTAATTCTCTTGTGGGAAAATAGGGGATTTGATTTATAAGTTGTCTAAATGTTGAAAATCTATGGAATCTATCTTAAGATATAAGGGTGTATCCTAAGCTGATCAAACTGAAAGGAATCAGAGATCAAGCATGGGAAATGATGCAAATGACAATGCAGTGCATATGATTTATAAAGTCATACAAAGTTTCTTCCCTTGGACATAAACAGACAATCAGAAGGATTCAAAAGCCACAAATGAATATCAGACAAAAATAGGCATCATTGAGATAATCTATAATGAGAAAATATCTAGCAAAGCCTCCACATCATAATTAAGATCATGAACAAATAAAAACATATGTATAGTAGTCAAGGCATGTAGTCAATATCACAAGGCAAAGCATCTCAAATCAAATAACCATCACATAAGAGGCATACAAGCATTCACACTTCAAGAATCAACTTACAAATCAACAAAAGTAATAGTCCAAGTGTGACAAGATTATTTACATGGCGAGGATATGAAAATGGAAAGAGATTAATTAACTAAGCTCATAAAGTAGAATAATCGAAAAATCTATTTAATGACTAAAAAATAATAATTAAATAGATTACAATCAAATAAGAATTTAATCGGACAATTAGCCACTAAAAAAAAGTAATAGATGGTAAAACAAATAAAATAAAAAATAGTAAAAAAAAATTATAACAAAAAATTAAATGATTGATACCCTAAAATTACTTATCTTAAAGTAAACAAGTATACAAGACAAAGTTGAAAACAAACATTTACATCGTTATGATTAACTACACCATATTAAATAATAATAATTCTTATATTGAAAAATATAACTTAGGATAATTAATTAAAAAAAAAATTATTAGAAACTTTATCTTAAAACCATACCTATTTATAATAACAACAACAAATTGAATTAGGGTCATACTATTTATCTCTTCCCTCAAAATATATATGAGGTTACAATTACAGCGCGACAAATTCGACAACCAAATGCAACACAGGTCATAGAACAAACATCACAATAAAGCTCCAACAATGGTAGCAAAATAACCGCAAAATGTCGAAGCATTGTCAGAGTTGTGTTACTAACACTGCGGTTCAAAGAAAGCATGACGAAGATGGTGCAGGTCGTGATACAAAGTTGACGCACTTGTATGAATTGTTAAGTCGTAAAAGTACTACGAAAAGTACTGGTTTACTGGTGGAATGAATGTTGAACGAAGTTTTAGGTGGTATTTGGTAGTTTGAAAAAGAAAATGATGGATGAAGAAATGAAGAGGGAGTCTGTACAGTTGGTGTTTATCTATTTTTTTCTCTTACGATGGCTGCTGCGATGCTTATATATAGGTCTTAGAAAAGTGAATGCTTTGATGAATGAGGAAAACATGCTCTGATTTTCTTTCCTCTTTCAATCCAACATGCTGTGACATTGCTTTTAATTTCTTCCATTTTCAGTTCAGCATGTTTGGGATATGTTTTAGGAAGAAATCATATCCTTGTTCCCTTGTTTTGCAATGCCATCAATATATAATATTATAATTTCAAGTGAATTAAAAACCTTCTAAAATTTAGGGATCACATACATTAAAATGGTTAAAACAAAATGTTTGTGTGCTTTTTTAAAAAAGAAAATGCAATAGTTAAAAAACATTTAATTAAAATAAACTTTAAACTAAAATACCTAATTAAATATAAAGATAATTAAATTAAAAACTATAACAAAAATAATTAAAAGATAATTAAATTAAAAGACTATTTTAATAAAATAATTAAAAGATAATTAAATTAAAAGATTATTTTAATAATAAAAGATAATTAAATTAAAAGATTATTAAAAAATAAAAGGTAATTAAATTAAAAGATTATTAGAAATAAAATCTAATTAAATTAAAAGACTATTTTTGAAATAAAAGATATTTAAATTAAAAGACTATTTTAAAAATAAAAGATAATTAAATTAAAAGATTATTAAAAATAAAATATAATTAAATTAAAAGACTATTTTAAAATAAAAGATATTTAAATTAAAATATTATTTTAAAAATAAAAGATAATTAAATTAAAAGATAATTAAAAATGAAATATAATTAAATTAAAAGACTATTTTTTAAAATGAAATATATTTAAATTAAAAGACTATTTTAAAAATAAAAGATAATTAAATTAAAAGACTATTTTAAAAATTAAAGAGAAATGAAACAGTTTAAAACAAATAAAAGGTCGGACATCAAAGTGCCTGAAAAAGAAAGCACCAAAATAAACAGCGTGATATGTTATGCCGACGATGCAAAACAAAATCTTAGGGTCCAAATTAGGGTATGATAATATACTCCTCCTTCGCTTTGGTTTTGCCAATATTTATATGTTTTCTTAGTCCTCATACTCTTCCGCCATTTGCATTTTCTCTTCAACCTAATCTAAAAGCAAGCAACCCTAGGCATAGGCACATGTACTCTTTTCTCCAGCTAATCTATGTGAGTATGTGTCTAGAAAATATATATAGGTTATCCAATAAATAAAGTACCATATGTTCTAGAAAATATTTATGAGTCTTGATTTATGTCCCTATCTTTTCAGCAACGTGCACCATAAATGTACAACATTGGAAATCAAAAACAAAATCAGGAAGAAAAAAGAAAAACTCTCTGCACCTAATAGAGTTTCATCAAACTAATTCTAATATTAATAAAATACTTAACAACTAACTAGCACACTAGGGGTGTGCAAAATAACCAATAACCATAAACCAAATTCCTATTTAAATTAATCCAAATTTATATTTTAAATTTGGTGGCCCATTTATCAAATTAAAAAAAAAATGATAACCATTTGTTTCAAACCGGATTGAGATTTCGTAACCATTTTTTAATAAGTTTCAAAAACAAAAGTAGAATAGTTTGAGAAAATCAAGATCAACACTCCTAGTTTGCAATAAAGTTGATTTGGTTTAAAGTAGAATAAGTTTAAGGTAGATAGTTTGCAATAAGTTTAAAGTAGAATAAGTTTTACGATTAATTGATTTATATCAATTCAACGTACTTCTCGGTTAATTGATTTAATTCACGATGAAAGAGAATTATTCTAATTCCAGTTTTACATTGAGTAGTTTAAAGTTTAAGATATATGGGGTGTTGATTTAATTCAATGTAAAGCTGAAATAAAATTGATTAATTGGTTTATATCAATTATTTGATAGTTTACAATAAAGTTAAAGTAGAATAAGTTTCATGTGGTTTATCAATTATTTGATAATTTGTAATAAAATTAATTTTTTAAAAAAAATTGGTTTTAAAACTGATTTCTTTAAAGAAAATAAAAAATTGATTTTGAGAGAAACTGGTTTTTAAAAAAACTATTTTTTTAAAACCGGTTTGAAACCGAATCAATCCACTTGTAAACCGGTTTTAAAAAAATAAACTGGTTTTATATAAATGGTTTTAAGATCCAAAACAAACCATATATGTGATTTGTTTTGGTTTGGTTTATAATCCATGCACACCCCTATAGCACACAATTGAACAATAAGCCAAGTTGCTAAGATTCTATAAACTCAGCTGGAAGCAACAGGCATACAAGCATCAGTTATCAAATATCATATGATTTGTATCATTCAAAGATTTGCCGAAAAGCGGTCCATGCTATCAAGTGTATAGTGATTAAACTCCACATGCATAAACACATACAAGATGAATTTAACTATATGTTTCTGTTAATTTCCCCTCTTTTCCAACATAGTGAAACCTAAAAATCATAATTTCAAAAAAGAACAATTTTTATATTCTGTATAAGCAGGTACAAAATTGAAAGAAAAAGTAGGTAAAATTGGGTAAGATATAGGGCTGGCAATGAACCGAACCCACTCGAAAATAGTTTGGAACTCGATTCGTCAATTAAATCGTCGAACCAGGTTCATGAACCAAATGAGTTGAATATGAGCAAAAAACTAAGTTCGTTAACTAAATGAGCTGAACTTGAACTATACATAGTTCGACTCGTTAGGTTCATGAGTCAACTCGATTACATAAGAAGGATTATATTGACTTTAAGATTAGGTTTAAAGATTTACTCCAAATCTTAATCCTAAATATGTACCTTATATACTAGTTATGGCAGTAAAACTGACAATTGCATTTAGAATCATCCTTGTTGGAGGCATAATGACATTTGTTAAATAACATGTGTAATGAAGGTTGAGAGTGGTGTAGTGTAATCATTCTGTGATGGAAATGTATCAATTTCTAGTAATTTTTTGTGTACTATTTCATTAAAATTGTATGTTTCATAAATATTTAGACGAAGTTGTGGATTTTTTAGACAAATTTAAACTTCAATTGAGTAGTTTTTAAATTAGACTTTCAGTTGTATCTCTTGAAAATTTTGTAATTTTTGAATTAGTAGATTTTTTAGATAAAGTTAAATTTCAATCAGATAACTTTTATTTTATTTTAACATTTTCTTTTTTAAAAAATATTAATTTAAAATGTCAAATATATATATAAAAACAGCCGACTTAAAAAAAACAGCTTTTAAGTCCGTGAAACAAGTGAGTTGAACCTAATGAGATGAACCTAACGAGTTGAACCGAACTGTTTGCGAACTTATAACGAGTCGAGTTTGAGCTTTAAAAAAAGTTCGTGTCAAACTCGAACCGAGATTTGAGCTGAACCAATTCTTAACGAGTCGAGCCTAGCTGAGGCGAGTTCGACTCGACTCGACTCATTTCTAGTCCTAGTAAGATATAAAGATGCATACATTACATTTCTCAATCTTCTAACTTGACCATGAAGACCGATAATCTCATCATCGAATTCCATGACAGGATCAATACACAACTGAATTTCATTGGTGGGAGCAACGGGGATTCTGGCGGTGAGTCTGTCTCTGCAATTCAAACATGTTAATATCAAGAAACTAAGGGAAACGAAGAAAGAGAGAGAGGAATGGTGTTACCTTGATCGATAAGGAACGACATCGCTGTAAAATGATCCACCTCTGAAGGAATTTGATGACATTGAAATTGAAGAAATAGAGAGAGAAAGTCAAATCAAATTCTTGATCTTGATTACGATTTTGATTTTGCAGAAACGAATTGTGTCAATTTCATTTTTTATATAACACGAGAAGCAACAAGAATGAAAAATAAAATTGGTGGTTTTCTTTTTGTAAAGAAAGCGGTAACGTTTCAAGTTTGTTACAAGATATACATTATTTCTTTTTAACTATACATACACATATGTGATGCAGTTTTAAAAAATTATTAATTATAATTATTATAATTTAATCTAATAGTTTAGAATATATTATTATAAATATTTTCTTCCAAAAGATTTTAATTAAAAAATAAAATTATTGAAATGTGATCGTTATAATTATCTATTAAATTTATATATGCTCCCATCACAATGTAACTAAGTAATCGATCTAAAATCTCAGAACTTGCAACCGAAAGAAGGAGGAATTTAATTTAATATAAAGAAATGCAAAGAGTAAATGGAAAATAGTTTGATGTTGTCGCTACTCGAAAAATGCATCGCGCAACGACGGAGAGGCGAAAAAGATAGACAGAAGAGTCGCCACCGAACTTTATTTATCCCATGGGGGGAAAGGAAAATATCGAGAAAACCTTAAGAAAGAAATGGATAAGATGGTCTCGCGACCAAGAACGGGTTCGGAAGCCGGTTATGCAAGGGGAAGGTATTAACACCCCTCGCATCCATCGTACTCGATGGGAACCTTTTGTTTGTCGACGTGCGATTATATTTGCTTAAATATTGTGCTATAAAAGTGTTTTCCAAAGGGTAAAGAAGAAGGGTTAGAAACTGGGGAAAGAGAGGTAACAGGGAAGGAGAGAGAGGGAACAGACTCGGTAGGACTTCGCAGTCCTATGCCTACGTATTCTCAATGAACATGAGAAAGTCAGAGTCGACGTAGTTCGGGGAACTACAGATATAAGGGGGAATATGCTCGGCAAGGATTGTGGCCCTTGTGCCTACGTATCTTTACTTGAAGAAGTAAAGAATCAGAGCAGCCGTAGTTCGGCCTACGGTTTGCTGGGAAAGCGGGGTGTTCTGGTAAACGATGCTATCGTGCGCATTCTAGCAGTTAGGTGTATTGTTGTTCCCTCGTTGGAGACTTAGGCGTTACCTGTTTGCGGTAGAACGGACGTAGCATGCCTTTCTGGGAAAGGGTGAAAAAGAAAAAGGGTGCTCGCTAGGATATCGTAATCCTATGCCTACGTATTCTCAATCAGACATGAGAAATCAGAGCAACGTAGTTCGTGCCTACGGTGCGGATAACCGGTGTGTTTATGTGGATGATGTTATCGTGCGCATTCTAGCAATTTAGGTGTTTTGCTGCTCGCATGTGAGGAGACTTATGCATACCTGTTTGCGGTAGAACGGACGTAACATATCCTTTGGGAGACTGGTTTTCGCCATACGAGGCAAGGTGTCATGTTTGATTGGTTGAATTGTTTTTTAGGGGCGAGATAGGTCCTCGGATAGTAACCTCTACGGGTAGTACCCAATTCTTTATCTCAAAGTTTTTGTTATAAAAGGGTGTGGCGAACAAGGCGTCTTCGTATTGAAAGACGAGCATCGAAACCACCCTCACTACAGTGGGCATCCCTACGCTCGGAGAAGAAGAGGTCTACACCCAATCCTCTCTCTTTAATTCAATGCAAAGAGAACTTCGTTCTCTTATTAAAGATGTTTTTGGTTTTGAATGGTAAGTGCTTTGCGACAGATAACCCTACGGTAAACGTCAGCACTCGGGATAGGAGAAGGCCTACGCCTAACCACTCCACGACCATTCAAGTTTTTGTTATGAAAAGATTTGAAAATGCACTCGGTACAGGACCGAGGTTTTAGGTGTGAAAATTGTGGAAGGAAGTTGTGAAAGCGAGATGGTGGATAAAGTCGCGTCTTCGTATTGAAAGACGAGTATCAAAACCACCCTCACTACAGTGGGCATCTCGACACTCGGAGAGGGAGAAAGTCTACACTCAATCCTCTCTCTTTAATTCAATGCAAAGCAAATATAACTCGATTCCTTTATTGAAGATGGTTTGATAGCGTCGATGAATCGAATCGGGGCATAATGTGGTGTTAAACCATCTTAGCTCGACTTATGAGGGAAGTTGAACTATAAGAGGTCGCACATTGATTTTCATGCTATGGACAAGATAGAGAAACGATATTGAGGATCGTTCTCCAATTGAATCGCGTCGCACGGATCAAATACAGTGGGATCTCGTCTTGCGGATACAAGACTTCACCGATCACAGAAAGTCAAAATAAAATTGAAACAGAATAAGAAATAAGGAGAGAAAAAAGTGGTCTCGGATCCAACATCATTCATCAATAATTTGACTGGTAATGAATTACGGAAGTCTCTTCATAGACCCAAAAGATGGAAGAATATACAAAAGTGGATAAATGTCGAAAATAGAAAGGAGAGAAAAAGTTGGTCTCGGATCCTTTGTTACACGTCAATAATTTGACGGCTAAACGGTGGTGATCTCGTCATCGACCAAAACAGAGAAGATATGAAAATAAATCCTCAAAGGTAAATAAAAACTAAAATCTAATCTTAAAAAAGATATATTAAAATTTTAAAAAGGCTAAAATAAATTATTAAATATTCTTTCTAACAATCAAAATTATTCTAATCTAAAAAAACTAATATAAGTTTCTAATCCACTAATTAACAAGATAAATAAGTAATTAAATTAAAAGCAAGAAAAAAAAATTATGCAAGTGTGGATATTAAATTGACTCTTGAGCCCAAATCCAAAATGATCTAAACTAACCATTCACATTTAAAGAACCAAACAAATAATAAGAAATGGCTATGATATGATTAACAGGAAATTATCAAAACCAATATATACATCAGCAGAAAACGCAAGGTCCTATAACCATTTTTTTAAAAAAATAAAATAAAAACCTAAATGTATAAAATAATATGAAATATAAAGTATGCACATGTAAAGCTTTGAAACTAATAATATTTATATATAAAACTCAACAAGTTAAGGTATATACATAAAAGTGAAACACAGTAATATATATCTAAACTTTGAAAACACAGTATATACAAAAATACATTTTAAAGAAATTGAAACAAAATAAAAATAAAAATAAACTCTAATAGCAATATATCTACACCATAGCGTGTATACATACATATAAAAGAAAAGCTAAGTCCCATGAATTTGAAAACTTAACCAGACCAAAATAATGTGTATAAAAATGTCATTCTATGAAAGTTTAACATAGCAACCACAATAAAAGATGGTACTGTAAAAATCAAATAAAAAAATTAAATGATAGCAGTGAATAGGGAAAATAAAAAAGGAAAGCAATATACCAGCAAGACACAGGACCCTTCTCTCTCGTCAATGACTTTCGGATCTCTCTCAAGCATTTCTGATTCTTTTCGGGTCGTGTCACCATTCTGCAAGTAACCATCAATGCTCCATCTCCTTGCACATTTTTGACGCTCCATCACCACTGCTATCACATACTTCACTGCACGCGATTAAATCTAGCATTTCAGTCGCTTCTCTCTCACGTATTTGGATATCCACTCTCTCGCGGCGGCGGTGGCGGCTGAGTTGATTTCATTTTGGGAGTTTCGTTTGGTGTTGATGATGAAGGAGTTGGAGAAAAGATTTCGGTTGGATGGGTTTTTGAAGGTTGTTTCTGTGTTTGTTGAGTTTCAATGGAGATGAAGTGGATGTCGAGGAAAGAAAAATGGTTGTGTAAAATGAAGGAAGATGAATAGTAGAAGGGAGGCACTGTAGCAGCGGCTAGGGTTCTGAAGAAGGTGATGATGAATAGTAGCTTAAATAGCAGAATTTTGACATGTGGCGTGGCTGTTTGGGCTGAATTAATGACTGATTAAAATTTTAATGAAGTGCTAATGAACCACGTTGTTGTTATGTTGTACTAAAGTTGATATTAAAACTCTAATAAAAATAAATATATTAATTTAAATTCAAATTAAAAATTACTAATTAATTCTAATGGTCTAAACTAATAATTAATATAAATTCTTACTAAACCAAAAATAATATTTTACACTAAAATAATATTCTAAAAAGTGAATAAATAATCTAAATAAAATTAAACTAAACTAACCTAGATTAATATCTATTAAAATAAAACAAAAACCAATTTCTAATAAAAACTATTCTATTTCTAATTAAAAAAACAAAAATCTAAACTTAATTAAAATAAAAATAGTTAAAACAAAAATATATACAGTAAATTAATATTTGCAAGGAAAAAGAGAAATGATTAAAATTTACGAAAATGCTCTTAGGCCACGTGCTGCGCTCCTATTGGATAAAAAAGTCGAGATTTAAGGAACACCCAATCGGGGCGGACACGTGTCTAAACGTCGTGAAAAATGTGAAATAAAATGCAAAAATATTTACAAAAGCTGGCGGGCAAATTTGGGGTATGACAGATGCCCCTATCTAATTGGCTTAGACCGAGTAAGATGAATTGCTGCAGCATTCATTTTTCAAGGTAGAAGTCAATTAGATACAAAGAATATCCTAAATTTGTCCAAAAAGGAATAAAAAGCTCGGGAATGAAATACTGGACACCTTACAAAGGTTGCTAACACCAAAAGAATGTTAACAGAGAAAACTTGACACCAAAAGGATGACAAGCCAATCACCAAAAGGATGATAGTACACTCACACATACTGCCCTGACATCAAAAGAATGTAAGGGACCCACTACCGAAAGGATAGTGGAGAATAAACGCTAGTCATGCAACCAAAAAGGATGTCAGACCCATCACCAAAAGGATGATGGAGCAAAACATGGCAAACCCGACACCAAAAGGATGTAAGGAGTCCATTACCAAAAGGATAATGGAAAACACGCTAGTCATGACACCAAAAGGATGCCAGACCCATCACCAAAAGGATGATGGAGCGAAGACGCTAGTCATAACACCAAAAGGATGTTAGACCCATCACCAAAAGGATGATGGA